ATGACATCACACTTGTCATGTAGGGGGTGGGGGTAATGAATGTAAGCATAGCTGGGGAATATGGGAATAAGGGGTTATGTAGGCAGGGGATAGGCTGGTGAGGTGATAGGTAGAGATGAGTGCGGAGGTCGGTAGGTAATGTAAGGTCACTGGTGACTCCACCTTCACCTCTCATTACTCTACCCACCACACTACTCACCCTCTCACTACTTGAAATAAATTAATGACTGAAAGAGCAAATAACGGGGACAGTGAATATTACTATTCTACTCAAACACAGTTTATTATTAAGTCTTTGTACAATAATATATTTGGGAACAGGAGTACATTGTTGTGTTTAGATAAATGGGGACGGTACACATAAGCAGTGAGACAGGAAATACAATCAACTAGACGAAACAGAATATAACTTACAATAGAGTTCAGAGGACAGTTCACCACAGGAACTAAGCCACAGGTCCCAAGACCTACACAGCACGAGTACTGCTCCAAGCCAGTACTCTCCCCAATGTCTCCAACAGTCTCTCCTCCCTAGACTCTCCAGCTCAGCTCTGCTCACAGGCCAGAGCCCCGCTCGACTCTCCAGCAACCTTCTCCCGAGCTCTGCTCACAGCAGCAGCTCCGCTCGAAGTCTCCTGCTCAGAGCTCTGCACCCAGGTCAGAGCTCCGCACCCAGGCCAGAGCTCTGCACGAATCTCCAGCAGCCTTCTCCCGAGCTCTGCTCACAGCAGCAGCTCTGCTCGAAGTCTCCTGCTCAGAGCTCTGCACCCAGGCCAGAGCTCCGCACCCAGGCCAGAGCTCCGCACGAATCTCCAGCAGCCTTCTCCCGAGCTCTGCCCACCGGCCAGAGCTCCTCTCGAATCTCTCTGCTCAGAGCTCTGCACCCAGGTCAGAGCTCCGCACGAATCTCCTCTACTCAGCTGTTCCTAGGGCTTATATGGTGGTCCAAGTACCCCCACAATTGGGTGTGCACCACGTGTTATGACCTGACGCCGAGGTCTGACGCCGTCAAGAACAAAAGACCTCAGACGTGGGCGTGGCTACCCGACATTTGCCAAGGCAGGTGTGACCATATAATTAGGTCTGCCTAGAGACCTCACAAGCCCAGCTGAACTACATCACACACTAACGAAATATTCATTACTGTCAATGAAGATTTATCAACGCCCAGAATATAAATAATAATAATAATAATAATAATAATAATAATAATAATAATACTGATATATTATTGCCAAGATAAATATTAATAAAAAAGTGAATGAACATGGCAGCGGGTCCTGGCACCGTGGTCTGTGTGTACAGTTTTGGGTTTGTCAAATACGTGGACCACGGTTCGAGTCCTCGTCCAGTACTCTATTCATACATTATTCATGCAGTCAGTGTATGATTCATCATCTGAAGAGAAGATACGATAGAGATTAATAATTTTAGCTGTGAATGTCTCTTGATCCAAGGAATTAGAACTACCCTCCATTTCTACGCATCAAAGCCTCCCAATCCTTGTACACAACGTCAAGATAGGGTATAACAAGGCCAGTAAAGCCAGAAACAATGGTGAAATATAGATAAGAATTTGTCGGATTTTTAACCCTGGAGGGTTAGCCACCCAGGATAACCCAAGAAAGTCAGTGCGTCATCGAGGACTGTCTTATTTCTATTGTTGTCCTTAATCTTGTTCCCCAAGATGCTACCCACACCAGTCCACTAACACTCAGGTACCTACTAGCTAGGCGAGCAGAATGGCAGGTGTAAGGAAATGCGTCCAATGTTCCCACTCTTGCCGGAAATCGAACCCGGACCCTCAGCGTGTGAAGCGAGAGCTTTGCCAGCCAGGTCAAGGGGCCCCATAGAGCTTTGAACTGAGTCTTGCTTCAGGCTGCTCTAAATGACTCTATCCTACTTTCAAGTGTCGGTCTAGCCTGGTCTTGGACCGAGCCACGGAGGCGCTGACCACTAAAAGCAACTACATGTAACGTACAAGTGATCCTAGGATGGACCTGGGTGCCAGGTCAAGGCACTGGACCCCAGCACAGCTCACCTTTTGTCAGAGTCCAGGAATACTCTCAAGTCAGAGACAAGTGTAAGACTGATGGCGGGTCGCTGGAGGAGCCTCCTTTATATACCTCACAGTTCCCGCCCTCACAGACGCTTCCAGCCCTGGAACTTTCACAACACAACGAGCATTTCCATTGTTACCAGGCTAGTTAATTGGGTTTAAAACCTGTCTACTACTCAGAGGAACATTAAGGCTGCATGTCACCTATACACCACCAGTTAACCATACTTAAACTCCCTAACAAACAGAGATTAGAGGAAACTCTCAGTGTATACACACTGAGATACACACCTCACGGTGTTGAAGAGTGAGATATTTTTGCTACATTCTGCACTTATATTGTACATTTCTCAAGACTGATGGACTGAACACATCGACTCCAGAATGAGGGACTGATTACCTCAAACTCCTCCTCATCTTCCACGGTTATTCTCTGTATTGGTCTGAAGAAGCCTCTGACTGGAGGAACGTTTCCACAATTAAGGTTCCCAGATGTTACACAATCGTCTCATTTTCTAACTTGTGGTTTTTCAGAACCATTTACATCACACTTCACGGTTTATATATTCTTAACACTGTTATTCCTTAAACTTGGTTTACAAAACTTAGGAAATTATTGCTAAATAAACCTCGGAAAACACTTTGGTTTATGACGTCCACATGTCTTAAAACTCAGACTCGATACCATGCCTAACCCTTCTTGGGTAGGGTAGGTGCCTGAGCCCGAGCCTTTAGCTCATAAGACTGTCATTCCCATTTTCCCCCTTGGGGCGGGGATGGCAGACCAGAGAGGCCTAGCTTGTGGCTAGGCCAGGGGACAGTTGGTCCCAAAGATGAGGAGGTACTTGTGCCTCCTCCCATGGGAGACTTAGGTCTCAGACACTCCCTATAGAGGAAGCCAAGGCCGGGCCACCACTTGGAAAAGGCCCGGGCAGGGACAATACCGGCTAATCTTTAATAATAATAAAATAATTAAAACTCAGACCGCGGGGGCGTTGACCCCCAAAACCCTCTCCAGGTTTACCCCAGGATAAACCAAGCCAAAGTATGGTTTATTTCCATTGAGGTGCTTAGGTCCCCACTTTGGGATACTACCTACAACAGTCTACCATCACATAGGTACCTTTGTTTAAGTCTAGGTCAACAGGAGCAACAGGTGTAAAAAAACTAGTACATACATCTCACCCTATCCAGTATTTCACCCGGGTTCTGTTGCTTGTGAGCCGAACTAACCCAAAATCGATGTTATTCATCTCCAGCGTCACAAGTCAGTTGTTCCTCTGAATGTTCGCATATAATCAAACTCTCAGCCGAGCGAAAGAAAGAGACTATGAACGATAGAAATAGTTATGAATGAAGGTTGGTGGAGAGGTGAACGATCCCTTCTCTTAAGTTCTCAGGCATAGATGGTGGCAATGTTTCACTCGGGATAAGCTTAGTAAACCCTGTTAGAGCGAAACGTTGTCTACAGTCCCCTGAGTTTAGATAAATGGTTCAGAGAACCGACAAGATGATAAATTAGACACATGTGCAACACTTGGGTATCTTAAGCTTCATCAGTCCAGCGCAGAGAAAAGTGGTTGAAGAACAGGAGGACTTTGAGGTAATCAGTCCCTTAGTCTGGAGTCGAAGTAATCAATTTTGCAAAAATATTTCGTGGCAAAACCCAGAGAAATGTATACAATCAACATATAGGTAGAAAAGAGCTTTTAAAGCATTCCCAGGAGGCAGATTTAAAAAAAAAAGGTCTCCTGGCCACATTCCCTGAAAAGAGGCCTTACTGAAGCTTGTCCTCAGTTGGTAGCGCATTTACCTCACGCATTAAGGCCAGTGATTCGATCCCCATAAGACACCTGCTGTCCCTGTTCACCTAGCAGTAAGTAGGTACCTGGGTGTTAGTCTCCTTGCACCTGCTGACCCTGTTCACCTAGCAGTAAGTAGGTACCTGGGTGTTAGTCTCCTTATACCTGCAGTCCCTGCTCATCCAGCAGTAAGTACGTACCTCGATGTTAGTCTCCATACACCTGCTGTCCATGTTCACCTAGCAGTAAGTAGTGGACTGGTGTGGTTGGCATCCTGGGGGACAAAACTGAAGGATCACAATGGAAGCAAGACAAGACAGTCCTCGATGACACACTGACTTTCTTGGATTATCCTGGGTGGCTAACCCTCCCTACCCTGGGTTATCCTGGGTGGCTAACCCTCCCTACCCTGAGTTATCCTGGGTGGCTAACCCTCCCTACCCTGGGTTATCCTGGGTGGCTAACCCTCCCTACCCTGCGTTATCCTGGGTGGCTAACCCTCCCTACCCCGGGTTATCCTGGGTGGCTAACCCTCCCTACCCCGGGTTATCCTGGGTGGCTAACCCTCCCTACCCCGGGTTATCCTGGGTAGTTAACCCTCCCTTCCCCGGGTTATCCTGGATAGCTAACCCTCCTAACCCCGGGTTATCCTGGGTGGATATATATCTTAAGATAATTCCCTGAAGCATTCACGAAAGAATTCTTTGAATCAAATCCTGTGGGCCTGTTTCTCTTCCACTCGTATTTTGCTATCCTAGCCTCAACTATCTAGATGATAACAGATAGTTCTCATTCGAGATAGTGACAGTCCTCTCCAGGTGGCCTCATGGAATTTCAAGTCAAATATTTGTCTATCCCGTGCGCTGCTATTGCTTCCTCTCATATCTCCAAGTCACCCGTGTGTGTGTGTGTGTGTGTGTGTGTGTGTGTGTGTGTGTGTGTGTGTGTGTGTGTGTGTGTGTGTGTGTGTGTGTGTTGTGTGGTGTGTGTGTTGTGTGTGTGTGTGTGTGTGTGTGTGTGTGTGTGTGTTGTGTGTGGGGTGTGTGTGTGTGTGTGTGTGTGTGCGCGCGTGTGTGTGTGTGTGTGTGTGTGTGTGTTTACCTGGAGTTTACCTGGAGAGAGTTCCGGGGATCAACGCCCCCGCGGCCCGGTCTGTGACCAGGCCTCCTGGTGGATCAGCGCCTGATCAACCAGGCTGTTGCTGCTGGCTGCACGCCAACCAACGTACGAGCCACAGCCCGGCTGATCAGGAACTGACTTTAGGTGCTTGTGTTTGTGAGATTGCCAAAGATATTACTAACAAACCTCTAAGTATTTCCCAGGGTCGCTTTATGGATTCCTTCAGACAGTTTCTTATGCACCTGGCTGTTTTTAATAATAATAATAATAATAATAATAATAATAATAATAATAATAATAATAATAATAATATATCTATTTCTACAGGTACTTGATACAACTTATACAGACCATAGCTGACATCAATGACATATTACTACATAGAAATCCTCTTTGTTATGCAGCATTTCGGGCACATTAGGTCAGTTTTGTCCCAGGATGCGACCCATACCAGTCCACTAACACCCAGGTACCTATTTTACTGATAGGTGAACATGGACAGCGGGTGTCTTAAAAAAAAACGTCCTAATGTTCCACTTGTCCCAGGGATCGAACGACGGGACTCAGGTGTAGTGAGGTGTTCCCAGTGGGTTTGGGTTGGGTTTAAACCCTGCTACTAACGAGGGTCATCTTTTTCCCAGTCAAGAATATTTTAAATCTCTAAAATAGACTTTACGTAAACACTAGGAGGTAATACTGAGAGTATACACCTCTCATGCGTATATCCTTGACCCCGATCAGCGGGTTGTAGTGTGGGGGCCCCGGGGTTCGATCCCGGTTTCAGGTAAAACATTAAGGCCTTTTTCCCTTTAAAGCACCTGTGTTTCTGTTCCCCAAACAGTAAAATGGTGCCTGGGGTTAATCGACGGTGGGGGTGCACCCTGGGGGTAAAATTGTCCTAATTTCTGGGAAATGTTGCAAAAACAAGCGGCTTTATATTATATATTTTTTAATTATATTATATATATATATATATAATTAAATATATTATTATATATAATTATTATATTATAAATATAGTACTTGTCAAATAAAGTTATGAGTGGGGGGCTTCTGCTACCCCAAATCCCTGATGCATCATCACAACCCAGCTGGTCGAGGAGCGAAACAGACAACAACTAGAAAAAAAACTATGACATTAAAAAATCCCCCTTCTTTGAAAGTCACAATTTTCTAATGGGTGTAATATTTTATAGTTTTCTAAGTATAATTTTTGTATATATTTCCCATTATTTGTCATCACAATTACGTCTACCAAGAGAGAGAAGACGAGAGAAAAGCTTAAGGCTCTGCTCTATTCACTCCAAACCCAAACTCGTGATATCTTTTTATACAATGTTTTCCTACCACGATATTTATGTCAAAAGTGCTATCATATCGGTTATATTTTTTGGCTAATAGTTGCTACCGCCCCCATTCTCCCCTAACTCTCAGTTGTTGGACCGTTGTTGCCTGGGGATACCTGTGCGTCCATACAGCTTCATTGAGATATATAATAAAAAAAATGTACAACATGGAACATTTTATTGGGGAAGGGGACCGCCTACGCACAGACTTCTTCAGTGGGAAACAGAGATAAAAGTATATTGAAAATGACCCAGAGGTGAGTTTTTTTATAGTAGTTATCTGTTAAGTATAAATAAAAAAATAAATAATAATAATAAATAAAAATAATAATAATAATAATAATATTATAATAATAAAATAATAATTATAATATAATAATAATAATAATAAAAATAATAATAATAATAATAATAATAATAATAATTATTATTATTTGATAATAAATTAATGAAAAATCTTTTTTTTACAAGTACATGTACAATTATACAACCATAGCTAACATCATGACGAAAGCCCTGGTTATGCAGGCATTTTTTGGATAAATTAGGTTAATTTTGTCTCTTTGGATGCAAAAAAAACCCCCACCCTCCCCTATAACACCCAGGTACCTATCTTACTTCTAAGTGAACAAGGACAGGCCCTAATGTTTCCTCCACTCGTACCGGGGACCGAGCCATGGGCCTCAGTGTATAAGCTGAGTGCGCTACCAACCCAGCTATGGGTATGAATTAAATAAAAGCTAATAAAACATGCTATTTCTGGGTTAATGAAACAGCCT